TCTCCTGCAGTAGCAGCTTCTAGAGCAGCAAGTGCTTCCGCCACTGCTGCATCCTCCTCCGCCATCTCTCCATTCCCATCCCCACTGCAGCCATGGACACCCTCCTGTCCACTTTTAGCATCAACCACAGGCACAGCATGAGCAACGTCCTCCTCTTCAAAGGAGCCACTTAGAACTTCTGTTGCCATGCCCTCGCTCAACAAATCCCACCTCTCCCTAGTAGACGGATCCATGCCATGAAGGACAATGTCATCCAGATGCTCATTTTCTGCGTGGTTCTGGAAAAGACAATCCTTTTCTTCAAGATCACTACTGTCTACAGCTGAGCCCCAAAGTTGAGGGTAATCCAGAGCTGGTATCTGTATGATGTGGTCTTGTATATCCAAGGTAAGACTTTCTGTATTAGAAGATACTCTGGAGTCTCCATTTTGAATGACATGGGTGTCTTCTACAGCTGGTAACACACCATCCTGTTTCCTGGTGTCCCCTCCTTCTAGGAAGGGAAGCATCGGGAGACTGTCATTGACAGTATTGTCCAAGGAGTTCTCACCGCTGTACTGGGGCCTGGGGTTCCCAGTGGGTTGCAAAGCAACAGCGGGGCCAACTCCATTAATGGCACCATCAGCCTTGTCCCCACTGTGGCTCCCTCCTGGAGGGAGAAGTCCCCGGTGAGACCAGCGGGGCTCCCGGCCGCTGGCTGTTCTGCTCCGGCTCTCAGTTCTCTTTAATCCCTCACTTTGAAGGTCATTTTTATGCACCAAGACTTCACTGCTCTGTCTGTCTTTTAATTTACCAGTGCTGTCTTCATCTAACTTGCAGCTGCTTACTTCATTGATATAGCCAGGAGAAGACACCTGCACCGGATCAAAGAGATAGCTTTGTATCATCTTACAGCATCTGCACCCCATCTGGATTATTTTGTGTTACCATCTGTTGTGGAAATTGTCCATTAAGTTTCGCTAGAAATTTACCTTCTCCTCCTGGAGACGCGCACTGGCGGCGGCGGGGTCAAGGAGCCCACGGCTTTGCGGGCCTGGGTCGGCCGCGCCGGGACATTCCTTTCGCTTATTATCTTGATTCATTATTTGCATGTTAATTAAGTAAATTTGAAGTAAATAAAATTCAGTGAAATGCGATCTCTCTCTCTATATATATATATGCAAATTTGCATTTACCAAACAAAAATATTATATCTTGCAGCATTCATTCAACTTTGTTCTTAATAATAGACATTTTAAGAGGTTGCACAAAAGGACAGAATTGAAGTAATTAAAGATCTATCCCTTCATATCTACGATCCCTGCAGTATGATTATTTGGTAAGAAGCTCCTCTGCAATCTCATAGGCATGCAGTTCTAATCCATCACTGTTCTGGGTGGGGGGAGGAAGGATGGAAAATCTCTTCCTGTGCAATTAACTGCTTCTGACAACTTGTTGGAGAGTCAGTTACAGGTCAGTTCCAACTCAACAGCACAGTAATACTGAGAGATGCCATGGGCAAAATCTTTAATGACCCAGAAAGCATCAAAAGAAGATGGAATAATGCACAGAATGTACCAAAAAGAATTGATTAACATTAAAAAATTTGGGGAAGTATTATGTGAACAAGTCTCAATAGCGACAAAGGAAGACGTTCAAGCTTCATTGAAGACACTAGCAAAAATAAGACTCCAGAAATAGCTGGGATACTGATTAACTTGTTTCAACTAGCAGGTGCAACCCTAGATGTGCTCATTGGTCTATGCTAGGAAAACTCGATGTCAGACTGGAAGAGATTCACATTTGTTCCCATTCCAAAGAAAGGTGACCCAACAGAATGCAGAAATTATCAAACAATATCATTTGCTGCAGAAGGTCAAGTACTTCAGTGTTAAATATGGATTGAAGCTCAACATCAAGAAGACAAAGATTGTCATCACTGGGCCAGTTGGCAGTTTCATGAGAGACAGAGAAGAGATTGAGATTGTTAACAGCTTCAGCTTACTTGGCTCCACAATCAACACTCTTAGTACCAGCAGCCAGAAAATCAAAAGACATATTGCATTGGGGGAAATCTGTTGTCAGGAATCTCTCTAGAAAACTGAAGAGCAATGTCAGTCTGGAGACCAAAGTATGCCTGATCCAGGCCATGGTCTACTCAATTACTTGCTGTGCATCGGTGAGCTGGACAATGACTAAGAATGATAGAAGAATTGATGCCTTTGAGTTGTGGCACTAGAGAAGAGTATTGAACCATGGACTGCTAAGAGAACAAACAGGTTTGTCCTGGAGAGGGTAAAACCAAGTTTTCCCTTGGAGACAGGGATTTTGAAGCTCCATCTCACATACTGTGGGCATGTTGCCAGGAGTTACCAGTCCTTAGAGAAGGACACCAGGCTCGGAAGGGTGGAGGAGCAGCATGAGAGAGACAGACCCTGGATGAGATGGATAGACTCAGTGACTGGGGTAATGGGGGTAAGTATGTTGGAGACAATGACATTGGCTCAATATAGAGCAGGGTTCAGAGCTACTGTAGATAGGGTCATTGTGCCTGCCAGCAACTTGATGGTCCATAACAGCAATAGCATCATTAATATCAAATGTAGGCAAAATATTGCTGAAGATCATAAAAAAAATGACTGGAACAGTATATTGACTAGGAACTGCCAGAAGTTCAAGCTGGATTTAGAAGAGGTTATAGCACCAGGGACATCAATTATGTCAGGGATGTTAGATGGATTTTGGCTGAAAGCAGAGAAGAATGTCTGTCTTTTATTGACTATGCAAAGGCATTTGACTGTGTGGCTCACAACAAACTATGGATAACATTGAGAAGAATGGGGATCCCAGAACCCTTAACTGTGCTCACATTAAATGTATACCTGGACCAAGAAG